TTCATTAATGTGGTTTATGATTTATAAATACTAGAAAGAAAAAGAAAGCGGAGGTAGTAATGGTTGTGATAAAAAATAAGAGTAATTCCAAAAAATAAGAAAAATAACAATTAAATATATATACTGGTTAATGTGTATTATTTGGTGATTGAGATTTTCATATCATTTTTTGATAACGAGTGTATTAATAAATATGAATTGTTTATTATTGAATTATATATATAGAACGTTTTAAAATCTTTTTTTTTATAGCAGTCATATAATAAAACTAAAATATATATATTTAAGTTTTGTTAGTAGTGCCTTTAACTACGAGTTATCCCTAAAATATATATATATATATATATATATATAAGAAATTAGAGAATTGTTAGCATCAACTTTAAAACAAGAACACTTGAAACACAAACATTCTCATATCTCATCCAATTTCACATCTCCTACTCCTCTTCCCTTTTTTGTCAATTGGAAATTTCCAATTGAGCTAAATATCAATAGGATTCCATCCCTTACTCTATCCTCCATCTTGTGTTAATATGTTTCAATGTGTTTTTCGTTTCTTCTACTTTTTAAAACAAAAACAAATCTAGTAAGAACACCAAACACACCAACTTTACCTTCCCCCACCAACCTAAATCAATGTATAGGCTCCTAAAGGATTGGTCAAAGAAAAAGGGATGTCTTCGCCCTTCAAAGTATTGCTCAATTATTAGAATTTTCATAAACAAGTAAGAGACTTTACCGATATCTATGCCTCATGTTAAAGGGTTCATGAAGGACTTCAGTAATAGTTCACGAGCCTTAAAAACCAATATTAGCTTACTCACCTTGGTAGGTAGCTTCCACTCTTCAATGGCTCTGATGTCCATCCAATGCCCTAGGAATAGGATTTCTAACGCTATGGCACTGAAAAACACTACAAAAAACAATTTCTCCCAAGTATTGAGTTCAAGATAGTTTTCTCAAAATACTTATCGACAAGGATTGGCTTCCTCCAGTCTTTTCATTGGACTGGAGAGGTGTTGTTAGACTTATTGGGCTCACTTTTGAGTTCCGTTTTGATAATTAGAACCGTTCATATTTTAAGATTCGTCGAATACATTATACTCCTTGCAAAAAATCAAGTTGATCGATATAACAATCACATGTTCAGATCAGTTTTGTATTAAAAAAAATAAACGGTTCATACAAAAAACTGTTTATACAGGAATCACGTGTTTGGATCAATTTTTTTAAAACATGAATTGTCTTACGTGTTTAAAAATTAAAAATAGTTCTTGTTAGAAATTTTTATTTTGACAAAATTAATAGAAAAAATGAAAAATTTTAACTACTCTTATATATAATAATAAAATTATCGTAAATTGTTAATTGAAATATATTTATAATATATACGATTAGAAATTTGAAGGGGTGAGATTTATAATTCCAGAACTACAGGGACAATCAGTATTTTAAGCAAAACTTTAAGGATGTATTTATAATTTATTTATTTTCATAATTTAGCTGCCCATATGAGAGGCCGCTATGGTTAAGAGCAATTATTCACTACCATTGGGGCAATGCCAAGTGGGGCATGGAATAAATTTCCATGGTTAAATATTGTGCCTTTCCTACCTATTGCAATATCTCATTATAAAAATAATAATACCACAAATCCAAACTTAATTATTTAAAAATATATTTTTTGTGATTTAAATTTATTATATATATCAATCCCACACCACACAATCTCTTTATAGGTAAATTCGGAATAGTTAAGGGTTCATAGCATTTTTCTTATAAAAAGACTAAATTTTCGTTACTCTCCTCACCAAAAGGAGACCCTCTACAAGTCTACAACTACCATACATTCAAGTCTCAATTGCATCTCCTTTTCGAAGCCTGTTGTTGTTCTGTTTCTTTCATGTCCAATAAAATGCTTTTGAGAAGCGGCTTCCACGCCCATCATTCAAGAAATCATCATGGGTTAACTTGAAGGAGTTATCTCACAAAGCCCTTGTGAGAAGCTCTTCCTCTTCCTACTTCAACTCTTCTTGGTCACCTGTATCAAATTCTTTCTTCTGAAACGAGGTCCCCTATCTCCTCCATCTCTTCAATTCAATCAAGAAAATTTCAAGAAAGAGAGAAGAGGCAGAGAATAACCTCCTTCTGATCAGAAGGAAGCAGTTCTTCAGCAACAAATGGGTGTTCAGAGGCTGTGTTCCATGACCCAATATACCAAGAAACAATGGTGGTGGATCAAGAACTGGATCAAGACTATTGTTCTTCCCTTGCGGGTGCAGTGGCAGTGCGCAGTGGCGGGTGGGGAGTGGGGTTGGTGGCGGCGGCGGCGGTGGTGGTGATGAGGGTGACGGTGCGAATGATTGGGTTTGAGAGTATAGATGAGTATTATCAGAAGATGATAAAAGCCAATCCTGGAAATGCTTCTTTTCTTTGGAAATTATGCCAGATTCTTAAAAGAGGTAAAAAAGGACATACAAACATATTCATACATTTATATAAGATAGAATTCGGAGAGATAATTGAAGAAAATATTAATGGTGGATTAGATATGCAGTGGATGACAGAGGTGAAAGTTGGAGAAAGCACTAGAGTACTGTTGAAAGGGCAATGATCATATCAGGAAATGAAGATGGAATGCATTGTCTCTTTATGGGAATTGATATGGATGCCATAAGGATGCTTCTCGTGCTCAATTTTATTTCGATCATCTTTCTCGTTTCCCCTCACGACTGGTAAATTTAAACTAATCTCTACAAATATTCTTAGTTTGGGGTGAACCAGTTTCTGTGAATATGAATCGGCCCTTGTTTCGCAACCTTCAATTTTAGTCAAACAGTCATTATAAATTGTCATAGTTCTCTTTATGTTTATTGTACATCTTTTTACAAAAATTTATGTAGTAACTGAAGTTACAATAGTCAAATTGTAATGTATTGCACTCTGGTGGAATTTTATGAATTGGGATTTCACTAGCCCCCATTGCAATTTTTTTTTTGTGTGATGCAGTTATGTTTATGGCATCGTATGCTCGATTCCTATGGAATGCCGAAGATGAAGATGAAGATGAAGATGTGAAGAAAGAGAAAGTTGAAGAGCAAGAGCAATATGAGGAGCTCAATAAGGGCAACAGTTCCTCACAACCACCAGCCAATTTCATTCAAGGATTGGCTTTTCCTCCCCCACCTCCTCCTATAGCTGCTCCTTAATACGGATGACAATGGACAACCTATCTCGTGGGTATCTATGGAGACCCAACCCAAATACATGAGTTTTTTTTCTTTTTTAGGGTAAGTGATATTCTTTAAATATCCACAAGGGATGGGTCGGGGATGGGTACCCACTAATTTCCTCATATGCTTTTTTATTTTATTTTTTATTTTTTTATATAAATATACATTCAATCTTATTTTATTTTATTTGGCTCAACAACAAAATCAAATACACATTAATTAATATTGTCACATTATTCTTGTCAAATTTTATGTATATCTAGAATTTTTAAAATTTATTTCGAAAAATTCAATCTTAATCAAAGCTAAATATGCATTCAATAGATATATATATTTTTAAAAGATTCACAACCAAAATTAAATATACATTCAATCTTATTTTATTTTATTTGACTCAACAACAAAATCAAATACACATTAATTAACATTGTCACATTATTATTGTCAAATTTTATGTATATCTAGAATTTTTTAAATTTATTTAGAAAAATTCTATTCTTACAAAAAAAAAAAAATTCCATATTCTTTTCAATATTTTTTTTTAATTTTATGTATCTCCTTCTCCTCTCTATTAATTGATCTTCGATAATCTGAAGGTGAGTTATTGCTTTCGTTTTCATCTTCTTCTTCTTTTTTTGTTTTTAAAAAAATTCTAGATCTGCATAAAATTTGACAATAATAATGTGACAATGTTAATTAATGTGTATTTAATTTTATTTTTGAGCCAAATAAAATAAAATAAGATTATATTTAGCTTTGGTTGTGAATCTAAAGAAAAAAAATGGTTGTGAATCTTAAAAAAAACAAAAATTAAAAAAAAACAAAAGAAAAAAGATTGAATGTATATTTAATTTTGGTTGTGAATCTTAAAAATTAAAAAGAAAATGGTTGTGAACCTTAAAAAAAAAAAGAAAAAAAAAAGATTAAATGTATATTTAGATTTGGTTTAAAAAAAAAAATTGGTTGTGAACCTGAAAATAAATAAATAAATAAAAGAAAAAAGATTGAATGTATATTTAGCTTTGGTTGTGAATCTTAAAAAAAAAAAAGTTGTGAACCTGAAAAATAAATAGATAAATAAAAGAAAAAAGATTGAATGTATATTTAGCTTTGGCTGTGAATCTTAAAAAAAAATATAAAAAATAAAAAATAAAATAAAAAAGCATATGAGGAAATTAGTGGGTACCCATCCCCGACCCATCCCTTGTGGATATTTAAAGAATATCACTTACCCTAAAAAAAGAAAAAAACTCATGTATTTGGGTTGGGTCTCCATAGATACCCACAGGATAGGTTGTCCATTGTCATCCGTATTAAGGAGCAGCTATAGGAGGAGGTGGGGGAGGAAAAGCCAATCCTTGAATGAAATTGGCTGGTGGTTGTGAGGAACTGTTGCCCTTATTGAGCTCCTCATATTGCTCTTGCTCTTCAACTTTCTCTTCTTCTTCATCTTCATCTTCATCTTCATCTTCGGCATTTAAAAAAGCATATGAGGAAATTAGTGGGTACCCATCCCCGACCCATCCCTTGTGGATATTTAAAGAATATCACTTACCCTAAAAAAAGAAAAAAACTCATGTATTTAGGTTGGGTCTCCATAGATACCCACAGGATAGGTTGTCCATTGCCATCCGTATTAAGGAGCAGCTATAGGAGGAGGTGGGGGAGGAAAAGCCAATCCTTGAATGAAATTGGCTGGTAGTTGTGAAGAACTGTTGCCATTATTGAGCTCCTCATATTGCTCTTGCTCTTCAACTTTCTCTTCTTCTTCATCTTCACCCATTCAACAAATTTTTATTTCCATTCAACAAAAGCATACGATGCCATAACATAACTGCATCACACAAAAAAAAAAAAATTAGCAATGGGGGCTAGTGAAATCCCATTTCATAAAATTCCACCAGAGTTGCAATACAATACAATTTGACTATTGTAACTTCAGTTACTACATAAATTTTTATAAAAAGATGTACATAAACATAAAGAGAACTATGACAATTTATAATGACTGTTTGACTAAAATTGAAGGTTGCGAAACACGGCCGATTCATATTCACGAAACTGAGTTCACCCCAAACTAAGAATATTTGTAGAGATTAGTTAAATTTACCAGTCGTGAGGGGAAGCGAGAAGAGCTTGATCGAAATAAAATTGAGCACGAGAAGCATCCTTATGGGCATCCCATATCAATTCCCCATAAAGAGACAATGCATTCCCATCTTCATTTCCTGATATGATCATTGCCCTTTCACAGTACTCTAGTGCTTTCTCAACTTCACCTCTCACCTGCATATCATTCCACAACCCATTAATATTTTCTTCAATTATCTCTCCGAATTCTATCTTATATAAATGTATGAATATGTTTGTATGTCCTTTTTTACCTCTTTTAAGAATCTGGCATAATTTCCAAGAAGAAGAGCATTTCCAGGATTGGCTTTTATCATCTTCTGATAATACTCATCTATACTCTCAAACCCATCATTCGCACCGTCACCCTCATCACCACCACCGCCGCCGCCGCCACCAACCCCACTCCCGCCACCGCCACTGCCACTGCCACCCACAAGGGAAGAACAATAGTCTTGATCCAGTTCTTGATCCACCACCATTGTTTCTTGGTATATTGGGTCATGGAACACAGCCTCTGAACACCCATTTGGTGCTGAAGAACTGCTTCTTCTGATCAGAAGGAGGTTATTCTCTGCCTCTTCTCTCTTTCTTGAAATTTTCTTGATTGAATTAGAGATGGAGGAGATAGGGGACCTCGTTTCAGAGAAAGAATTTGATACAGGTGACCAAGAAGAGTTGAAGTAGGAAGAGGAAGAGCTTCTCACAAGGGCTTGTGGAGATAACTCCTTCAAGTTAACCCATGATGATTTCTTGATGATGGGCGTGGAAGCGCTTCTCAAAAGCATTTTATTGGACATGAAAGAAACAGAACAACAACAGGCTTCGAAAAGGAGATGCAATTGAGACTTGTATGTATGTAGTTGTAGACTTGTAGAGGGTGTCTTCCTTTTGGTGAGGAGAGTAAGCAAAATTTAGTCTTTTTATAAGAAAAATGCTATGAACCCTTAACTATTCCGAATTTACCTATAAAGAGATTGTGTGGTGTGGGATTGATATATATAATAAATTTAAATCACAAAAAATATATTTTTAAATAATTAAGTTTGGATTTGTGGTATTATTATTTTTATAATGAGATATTGCAATAGGTAGGAAAGGCACAAATATTTAACCATGGAAATTTATTCCATGCCCCACTTGGCATTGCCCCAATGGTAGTGAATAATTGCTCTTAACCATAGCGGCCTCTCATATGGGCAGCTAAATTATGAAAATAAATAAATTATAAATACATCCTTAAAGTTTTGCTTAAAATACTGATTGTCCCTGTAGTTCTGGAATTATATCTCACCCCTTCAAATTTCTAATCGCATAATATTATAAATATATTTCAATTAACAATTTACGATAATTTTATTATTATATATAAGAGTAGTTAAAATTTTTCATTTTTTCTATTAATTTTGTCAAATAAAAAATTTCTAACAAGAACTATTTTTAATTTTTAAAACCACGTAAGACAATTCATGTTTTAAAAAAATTGATCCAAACACGTGATTCCTGTATAAACAGTTTTTGTATGAACCGTTTATTTTTTTTAATACAAAACTGATCTGAACATGTGATTTTTGTTATTCGATCAACTTGATTTTTTGCAAGGATAATGTATTCGACGAATCTTAAAATATGAACGGTTCTAATTATCAAAACGGAACTCAAAAGTGAGCCCAATAAGTCTAACAACACCTCTCCAGTCCAATGAAAGACTGGAGAGAAGCTCAATCCTTGTCGATAAGTATTTTGAGAAAACTATCTTGAACTCAATACTTGGGAGAAATTGTTTTTAGTGTATTTTTCAGTGGCCATAGCGTTAGAAATCCTATTCCTAGGGCATTGGATGGACATCAGAGCCATTGAAGAGTGGCAAGTACCTACCAAGGTGAGTAAGCTAATATTGGTTTTTAAGGCTCGTGAACTATTACTGAAGATCCTTCATGAACCCTTTAACATGAGGCATAGATATCGGTACAAGTCTCTTACTTGTTTATGAAAATTCTAATAATTGAGCAATACTTTGAAGGGCGAAGACATCCCTTTTTCTTTGACCAATCCTTTAGGAGCCTATACATTGATTTAGGTTGGTGGGGGAAGGTAAAGTTGGTGTGTTTGGTGTTCTTACTAGATTTGTTTTTGTTTTCAAAAGTAGAAGAAACGAAAACAACATTGAAAACATATTAACACAAAGATGGAGGATAGAGTAAGGGATGGAATCCTATTGATATTTAGCTCAATTGGAAATTTCCAATTGACAAAAAAGGGAAGAGGAGTAGGAGATGTGAAATTGGATGAGATATGAGAATGTTTGTGTTTCAAGTGTTCTTGTTTTAAAGTTGATGCTAACAATTCTCTAATTTCTTATATATATATATATATATTAGGGATAACTCGTAGTTAAAGGCACTACTAACAAAACTTAAATATATATTTTAGTTTTATTATATGACTGCTTAAAAAAAAAAAGATTTTAAAACGTTCTATATATAACTCAATAATAAACAATTCGTATCTATTATACACTCGTTATCAAAAAATGATATGAAAATCTCAATACACCAAATAATACACATTAACCAGTATTATTTAATTTTTATTCTTATTTTTTGGAATTACTCTTATTTTTATCACAACCATTACTACCTCCGCTTTCTTTTTCTTTCTAGTATTTATAAATCATAAAACCACATTAATGAATAGAAAGAAGAATCTCCAAAAATCAAGATAGAGAGAGAGAGTAAACACAACCCCATCACTCCCCTTTACAGCCCACAAACCATCACTACCTCCCTTCTCTTCTACCCACCAATAGCACATCACCCACAAACCCAATTGCCACCACTATTGCCACCGCTATCATGCCCTACAAACCACATGACCCCCACTTCTGCTACCTCCATCACTCCTTACAAATGACATCACTACTATTTACCAATTTTACAGTCCCAAAATGTCTAAAAACCACTATTAACCAAATCTCAACGCTTAACCATCAAAATAAAAACCATCGTGACAATGTTAGCAATCTATGGAGCAAGAAGCCCTAACCAACTAAGCTTAACCTAGTTGGCCACCATGCCTTCCTTAGGGCTTAGTTTTAAGGAGATTATGGGTTCAATTCTCCTTAGAGGAGTTGAATTAAGGGAGTGCAAGCACTTAGGTGCTGTGCAAAGAGTAGAGAGATTTCCTTTCATAGGTACTAATCTAACAATTAACAATTAATATTTGCCGATCAAAAGAAAAGAAAAAAAAAATGGAGCAAGAAGCCCTCGCTATTGGCGATCAAAGGTGCAATGACGTGATGCCAAGTATACTATAAAACAATTTTGCCTAAGAATGGTGTCAATTTGTGATGTGGGATTGATCTAAAAAAGAGTCCCCTTCTTATAGTCTTTGATGAAATTACTCCAACACTTTCAATGGTAAATGAGTCCTCGATTCACTGTGTGGGTTGGCGCTGGTGGTTAAAGATTTGGAAGATAGTTGCAGTGGTAATAGTGGTCATGGTCCAGTGTAGATAAGGATCAAAACTATAAATAAGTGAAATTTATTTGGATAATTTATACTTACACCTCTAATGTTTAGATTTAATACATATTATATCTTGATACTTGGAAAATTACAGTAATTGCCTTGTCATTATAATTATTTAAATCGAATGAAAACATTGAACCCATTCACTCTTGATTTGCTTTACTTCCTCTATTTTTTTTTCCTTTTCTTTGCTTTACTTTTTTTTTTTTCAATGTAATTTCTTTTGTTTTTCTATTAGAAATTGTTACATTTTATATAAGCAGAGAGTTTGTGAAACAAGTCTATTAACTACATGGGTGAGAGTATAATTTTCAAAATGTCAAAGGATGAGATATCATTAGACCAAGCCCAAGGAATGTCAGTATAATTTATCAAATTTATTTTATATACTTTTCACCGTTCAAACTTATACTTAAAAAGATTCTCACTGATTTATAAAATTGTTTTAATCTATACACTAAGATTTTTTTTCTGGTTTTGCAATTCTCCATTTTAATTTTAAAGTCATCATATAATTTATTTTGTATTAGTTAACTTGTATATTGTTTAAAATGTAATGACTTTTTTTTTTCATAAATAACGTTGGTACTTTCTTGATTATAAAGTTTTGTTTAGTTTGATTTTTGGAAATTTTTTTTTAAAATTAAAAAATCAAATTGGAAAAAAAAAATTTTAAAAATCATTTTTATATAATTTTATCTTTTGGGAGGGTAGAAATAGTTTTTTAAAATTAATTTTTTTTATCTCTATTTTTGTTAAATTAGTTTTTATTTTTTCAAAAAAAATTATAAAACTAGTCTCAAAAACTCAAATCAAGTATAGTGACGATAATTTTGGTATCATTATTAAATTAATCCATTAATCAAAAAAATCCAAAATTAAAAATTAAAAATATTTCATATATTAAACATATTGATTACATATTAAAATATTAATAACCATCTATTACATGATAACCATCCGAAATTAACAATAAAAAACAACTATCTATTGCATAATAATCATCCACAAACATCAACAAAACAACCATCTATTACATGATTATTATCTAAACACATATGAAAAATTAATTTGGTACAAAAATAAAAGATATATCAATTTTTATGTAATTTTATTATTAATAAGTAAAAATAATTTTTAAAAATTCAAAAAAATCTTTTCAACATTTATTTTTATCAAACTAATTTATATTATAGCATTTTCTGTTTGAAAAGAAAACAACGTATTCAATTATTCTTATTAAAATAAAATTCAAAATTTAAAATAAAATATATTACAATTAAAAAGTTAAAAACTAAAATAATACACGTTCTGAACTACCAGAACTATTAGTGTAATTCGCGATTTTAATTTTTCAAATCATAGATTAGGAGTGTATTTATAACCTATCGTAAGAAAAACCCGAGTTTTCCGGGCGGGTTGCGGGTTAGATTTGGGTCACTGTTACCAAATGGGAAAATGGTTTCAAAACATGAGAGCGAAGGTTATAGTCTAACTGGAGAGACACAGAGAGAGAGAGAGAGCGATAGAGATATAGAATGAATGCTCCGGATCGTTACGAGCGATTTGTCGTCCCCGAGGGCACCAAGAAGTAATCTTTTCTCTCGCACTACAATTTTGTATCGGTATATGTATCTGTATATTTGAATTGTATGGTACGCATTGATTGATTGATTGATGTTTGATTGCAAATGACAGGGTTTCGTATGAACGCGATACGAAGATTATAAATGCAGCTTCGTTCACCATCGAGAGAGAAGACCACACAATCGGAAACATCGTTCGCATGTACCAATTCACTCTTCTTTCGATTGGGGGCATTTTGATTCAGCTTACTTAAATAAACCCTAATGTTAAAACCCTTTTTTTTTTAACAGGCAGTTGCACAGGGACGAGAATGTACTCTTTGCAGGCTACAAGCTTCCTCACCCTCTGCAGTACAAAATCATTGTTAGGGTTAGTATCTTCGTTCTTCGTGTATTTTAATGCATTTTGAAATGGGAATGATTTTTAGTTAGGGTTCAAATATGGCTTAATGTGAACAAGCTTTTGTTTTGTTGCATTTAAAAAATAAATAAATACTTAGAATTTCATAAGTTTTGTTTGAGGGCCAATAGCTATACTGTGATTCAGGAAAATGCAAAACATTGTAGAGTGCCAATTTTGGGGACAATAAAAATACCCTTTTTCTTAAATTTTTGTTTCCTTTTTTTTTTTTTTTTTTTCTTTCCTTTTTTTTTTTTTTTTTGGTTTTGGAGAGACTTGAAGAATGATAGAAGAGGAAGAATTCCAAGAAAAGGGACAGTTACAAGCCACACGAGGAGTTTGCTTAATGTTTGATTAATCAAGGATGGATTAAATACTTGATTTAATATACCTGCCTCTTTTTATTTTACAAAACCTAATGACTGAAGGGATTTCAAAATGATTTGAAAGTGAAATAGGAGCAATGATTTCTTGGGCTCTCGGTGGAACAACTGTAAAGAATAAAATCAAGTTACATAGAGAGTGAGATAGATACCATATCAGAATGTTCACCCTGAGTTTTATTTGCAGGGTATGAAACATTACACCATTGGAGTTTGTTAGGAGTAGCAGATATGGGTGGAGGTATGAGGTTTCAAGCAAATTAAGATGGTGGTGAAATTACAAATAAACCAAAAATATATTTTTCACACCCCTTCAAACTCATGATGTGAGCTAGCTAATATCAAAAATTTGTCAAATAAAAACCGAAAGCAAAATAAAGTGAGTTTTGTTGAGTAAGTCTGCAAGCTGCAAGGAGGACACAAGTTAGATCAATAATACTACCCAAATGGAGATGCTGATGAACAAAATGATAATTGATCTCAAGCAGTGACGGATTGTTTCTTTCTTTTCTAGGACTTAAAGATAGTCACTAATAAATAAATAAATACAAAAGCTAGTAGTGCATTTGTGACCAGATACATTGCTAGCCAATTAGCGTCAATGTAGGTTGGAAAGGTTAAAGAGGAAATAAATGACAACAGTAGACTCTAAAATATAGTGCCACAAACATAGCGTGAATTGCGTAGAGTAGCCTCGTGAGTAGAATGAGAGTAGAGACAAACTGACTAATTACATGAACAACATAAGCAATGTGAAAATGACTACCCGACCAGCAGCAGAACTGACCTGAGCCAGGAGAAGTAAATCTTTCGCAATGTCCCCCCAAATGCAGCTTTTTTGTGTAATATCCAAATCATCCATTTGGATATTACTATAGTTTCCCAAAAACTGTACTATTTTAGTAAAGGGGTGGGACCTCCTTTTTGATTGGTCCCATAATCTCATTTTGTTCATAATTTCAAGCTTCAGTTTGTTGCTTATGTTGTTGTTTAGGTTTAGACATTCCCGTTCAATAAAGTAACTATGAGAGTCGGTTTGCTTTACTAATTTTAACATTCAATTTTATTTTAGTCATTAAGTAAGGTGGTTATTGTTGTTGTTTTTGCAACAGGTTTGATTTGGCATGTACTGTTTTTACGTTAGGGTATTGCTATATATGCTGGTGAACTAAGTGAAAGTGTATTGTGTGATATGTCCTGCTTAAGGTTTCTTTCTTTCTTTTTGGTTGAAATCCTGCATATGTTCTGGTATTGATGGGCCTCTTGCAGATTCACACAACTAGCCAATCATCACCCATGCAAGCATATAATCAGGCTATCAATGATCTAGACAAGGAGCTTGATTATCTGAAGAATGCATTTGAGGTGACATCTCTTCTTTCTTCTTGCAACTATGAACTTTGATTGTAGGGATTTTAGATTTTATCTGTTTTTAGATGCACATGATTTCATGGTTCAACATTTCCTCCACCGAAACTTTGAAGCTAGCTTGATTATTAGGAAATGAAATATTTTATTTATACGCTAGGGGGTTAAATAAGGTGTGTGTATTTTTAATGTTTGCTTCAAGGGAAATCTAATTTTTAATCAATCTTGCCGAAGCCCAAACGTGGATTTGTAACATTCCTTGTGTTCACGAATCGAATTGTGAATTGTTTTGCTAAAATAGTGAATCGTGAATATTCACTTTATTTAGCATAGTATATAATTTTATATATGTATTTACATTTAAGAATACAAATATGGCGTTTAAAATGAAATAAATAGCAATATGACTAAATTGTATATATATTTATACAAATAAAACCACATGTCAATACAATTAGTTGATCTCTTTTATGAAAAAGACGTTTCATGCTTTATGCAAACAAAACTGAATTGTTTGAATCACAATTGAATTGTAAGATTCACTAAATTTAAGATTTAACTGCACGAATTGAATTGTTTTGCTTGAAACTTGTATCAAATCGTATGAAATCATAAATTGTTAGATTCTAACAATCATGTTTATGACGTAGAAAGATTTTTAATTATAAATGTATTATTGTTAGTAGTGTGGCACAGTCTATTCAATTTCATTTGAAATTTATTTTTGCTAACCATTTTTATATTCTTAGTGTGTGGGTAAATCTACTAGACTACATGGATACTGAGAGAAATTGTGTCGCCCTAGGTATGGGAAAAATATTGAACGATGAAAATAAATTTCCTGAAATCTCTGCCTGCCCGGTCATGGGCACCGATGCTAAAGTCAGCAACAATGGTCTCGTCAAAACCATAAAATAACTAACTTGACAGCTCAGCAAAACCACAACATGAGTGTAGTTGCTGAGCGACACAGTATGGGACAAATCAGTCCGAATCTTTACTAGAAATTTTTGAAAAAGGATTTAAGATACCTAGAGTTAAAGTCAACAGGACCTCATCGGTTAATGAATAGATCATGGGACCTGACGTACTACAAGAAGAAGTCCACTTGGTAGGATCTCCTACCGATTATCCCATTTTTGTTTCCAACAAAAAATATACAGCTAAAATATGAGATAAAAATTAATAAATTGTTTTATATTATCTCAAGTTTAGTTTGCGATTTTCATTTGGATGACGATAGTAAAAAATATTGCAAATGATGAAAAATACAAATATTGTCTTATTGGAACTTGGATGGCATATTTATGCTTGTTTCTGTTTCATTGTGTGACTAGTTGTAAAATAGATTAATGTAAAGTATCTTTTAAAATAGATTAACGGAAAATATCATTTCAATCAGTGTGGTGATTGGTCAAATGAAAGAGGAGGAATCGACTAAGGCCTTTTAGAGAACCTTGAGAGAAGGGCTCTAGTACACAATGAAGTAAATTTACTTAGGATACAATTGGTTTTATGTTGTTAGTTATTACATGAAAATGCAATAACATAGGTTTGAAGATTTTACTAGAGGAATTGTACATTTATCAATTCAATATCATGTATTTCTCTTATTTAGAAATACATTGACACATTAAAACCACGTGATAAAATAGCTTACCTTTATAGCATTGCCTTTTATATTATTTGGCTTCTTGTGTTCCTATTTGTCTTCTCATTCAATGTACTGGTCTGTGTTCCGGGTAGCATAGTTTAAATTAAACTCTATCAATTGAGGTGTCGCACTGTCACTATTTGCCACTTGACTGATGAAAGTATATATTAATTGGAAAACATATGGTTGCGTTTGGTAGAGTTTTAGAATTATGATTTGAGAATAGAGTTGTATTTTGAATTTGTGAGTTTTGGAATTATGATTTGAGTGTGGAAAATTTGTTTGATTATGAGTTTTGAATTGAGTGATGTGACATATAATATTTGATTAAAAAATTTATGACTCATAACCAAACACAATGCAAAATTCTATTTAAAGCTCATAAAAAAATTTTAAAAAAAATTCAAAATATTTTTTATTTAAAATATAAAAATAACAGGTGCCAAAAAAAAAAATGAACATTGTTTTGGTCAACCAGCCGGACGTCCGGGGAACGTCTGGGAGGATGACCGGGTAGACGTGTTTTGAAAGGTGGGTGTGGAATCAATTTTTGAAGACTCTAAGCAAACACCATGTGCAAACCAAGGGGTGGAATTAAAGTTCCAAAACTCTACCAAACAGAGCATATATTTCTTCTCATTAAATCTGTAGTTCTTTCTTTTTATCTTTTTAATTTTTTTTCTCTTTATTTATTTTTATAGAAAGGTTCACCTTTAGATACATGAAAAAACAACTTTCGATTGAGAAGGGATTGGTACATGTGTGTGTACTTGATATATTTTTTTTTGAACACATATACTTGATATATTGGTCATATGATATTCCAAGCAAATGTTTTTTTTAAATATAATTCTGAATAGATTGTGGTTCTTTCTATTGTTGCTTGTTGAAGAGTAGAAAACAAAATGGCATCCTAGGAATTTGTAGCATGGTTATCACTGTATCTTAAAATAAAATTTGTTTGGTGGTTAAAATGTGACACTGCTCAATGATGTCCTTTTATGTAAATGATGCTGTCCATCATAGTTTCTTTTGATGGGGGCTTATGAGGGGCAAACTGTTGATGTCCAATTTTACGAATTCAGAATATGTAAATTGAAAACTTTGATATTAAGGGAAATACTGACACAATTTGAAGACTTGAATATTGAGAAATATACCAACACAAGTTGAAAATTCAGATTGTGACTTGCATCTAATGGTTGTTCCTTTTGTTGTAATTTTAATAATTCTGGAAGTTGGGGTTCACTTAAATAAACATAATAGATTGAACACACTTGGATGAAATGGATCCATCTGCACTTTAAAGTAGTGTTGTCTAGTAGTCGAAATCAAAGTCTTTTTAAATGACGTGTTCTTCTCAGGAACTCATCTTCTTCTATAATCAAAATCCACAATTGTAGTTCTTATTATTTGACGTTTCTTCGCAGGCTGAGGTAGCAAAGCACTCAAGGGAGTACTGATCTCTAGTCCAGAAGCATGTATGTTGACAGTGTTAGTGTGTGAAGATGGCAGGCATGTGGTTGTATTATTTAAGATGGTGTGAGTTTTGACTTTATCGGTACTCTGTGAATCTGTAACCAACTTTTGCTGGTAGTTTTAACTTTGAATTCACCAATCTTATATATAAAGCCCATGCATCCTTGTTTTCTGGTGGTGTTTCTTTGGCAGCCTTGTTGCTGTTTATTGTTCTTTTCAAATTGAATTTTTTCAAAGTGGAAGAAGAGAGAAACCTATAACTATGCACATGACCTAGAAGCCTTGTTGTTTTTGCTATGCTACCTCCCCTGGCTGCACAAAATTACTTAAAAATCTTGAAAACCCATTTTTATTGAAGTCGTGATCATATCATAACCATTGAACTTAGAGAACTTCATGTGATCATACCCCTTTTAGATAAGCTGACCTCACTAAAGGATGTGTTATATATTTTTATCCAGATTATCCCTTTTTTCTTTTGTTTTTTTGCCTTTTTTCCTTCTTGACATAAGATTATCCGATTGATATTTTATAATTTGTCATGCATGCATTCAAGTAGAGGCAGCAATTTTAAAATAATGATGAGTAGAGGCAGACAAAGTGGCAGCTTACCATCTCATTCTGTGCCTTAGTTCCCGAGTTGAGTTCTTCAGTGATGATGGATTAGTTCTTATATATGGAGTCATTCATGGATACTTGAACACTAAAAGTCTCTTTTAGAAAATGGCTTTTAAGCCAACTTATTGGTTTTTTTGACTTATTTGATTCACATCATATTTTTGCTTTTTGCATGTTTTTTTCGTAATAAGTAAAAAAAAGTTTGCTTATGAGTCACTTCCTAAAACAACTTTAAGTGGCTGTTCTATTTTTTGAGACCTTCAATTTTAGTTAATTAGTTTATTGGGGAGTAAAATAAAAATCCATGCTATTCATGTGATGGATTTAGGTAATTATTTGAAAAGAAATGCATTTGACTTTAAATCGTTGGTTTGACCATTTTTGACGTGAAAAATAAGACTAATTTGTTATCCACATAGGTCATTGAAACAAAATAAATAGATTCATGATTTATTAAACTGAATAATAAAACATCAAATAAGTCCATATTCCATTCTAGAGCATAATATAGAAATACATATCACAATATATTGAAAGACGAAAAATCAAATCAAATTTTGTGTCATTACCACAGTATCCTTAAAACATATTAGCTACTTCACTGTAGGTGCTGGAGGAACGTCGACTTCTGTCTCCTAGGATAAGATGGCTTAGACTGGCTAACGCAGAAGCACCTTCTGTTAGCTTTGGTGAACCGACAGTGCCAGCACTCTCTCACATAGGAAGAATATATTATATAAACAAGCAAACTGACTAGTATATTCTGGAAGTAAAAAATCTGTGTAAACACTAAGGGAGATGGATCTCATTTTATACACCATGGAAGAGAGAAGAAGAGCCTCTAGTCATGAAGGCTAGCCACTAAGGCCCATGAAGGCTGGCAACTAATGGTCATTACTCCTGTAAAATTGCTGGAGTAATGGTCCAAAACTGATGGGACAATAATATATATTTTGTACACACAGGGATATATCTGTAGCAGACTTGGCCTCCAAAAAGTTTAGGTTGGTGGACCATTAATTTGGCCCAGCAAGTCTCAAGCCTAAGATCTAAGACCCACGGACCAAGACCTGGCCCAGTCCGGTCCAATCCAGGCGACACACCCATAGCAATTTTTTCATAATCAACTTAGACCATAGTCGTAGCCCAAATCCATCCTTGAAGCATCCATGCCTTCATTCCTTCGGAAAATTTGGATGTTCCAAAGGGTTCATACCCTTGTAACAATCTTGAGATTTAAATACCCATCATAGCTTTCTTCTACAATCAATATGGGATTGGTAGTTATACACAATTCTCAAAACCTCATTCATGAGACCATCTTTATGAGACAATTTCTCATTCAATTCTTAATAGTTTTTGATTTTTTTTTTTTTTTGGGGGGGAAAAAAAACCTTGTTTGGGTGGTATAAAGACCTTGTTACAAAAAATCTAAACCCATTTAATCTCACCTTAATCAATGGGTGGGACCTACTTTAATTTCACATTAAAATCATCAAAAAACCATTTTTTCCAACATAATTTTCATGCCATTTTCAACTAGTAGCCAGATCCTTGGCGTCATCCGGATCCAAGGGATCAGACCTGAAGAATGATTGTGCCAAGGGGATATCTTAAGACATCCTCTAGGAATGGTTCCCTATAAACCAGAACTCACAAATGGGGAATTGTAGGTTTGATTATGCTAAACTCTCTCTACACGGAATAGAGTGCACAATCAACTCCCATGAACTCATCGAAAATGGGTAGAACAGAGGACATGAACAGGGGCAGAAACGATAAAAATGAAATAAGAGCAGCACATTCAAAACTAAAGGTTTGAGAGGAACCAGTTTGATTCAAATCTAAAAACAATCACAACAACAAATAGAAGAGGGAAAGAACAACAAAAGGAGAATAAAAAGGAAGAGGAGGCATATTGGACCAAGTTCAAAGAAGTTGACGATTGGAATCTCAAGTTTGCCATTTTAAAGAACCCTCTGAAAGGCTTTTTAGTAGGATCAGAAGTGCGAAGAGGCTTTTTAGAGGTTGAAAATGAAGCTTTCATCACTATATCAAGAAGTTACTTTTACTTGGCTATGTCAGAGAGTCAGTCAACCATCAGTAGATAGGAAATGGTAGTACAGAGGCTGGTTTACTACATCCGTCAGGCCTTGAGATGAGTAGAACACAATTATCCAAGACTTGAGAAATTGGCTTCTGCCTTGATAACTTCTTGAAGGAGATTATGACCTTACTTCTAAACTCATGTTTCTTATTGACTAGCCCTTGAGGAAGGTTATGCAACAACTAATGTGCTAACAATGGGCCATTTTGGACTGTATATGAAACCAAACCAAGTATTAAGTTTCATCAAATGGAATCGGCTACTTAAATTCTCGCATCTCTTCTCTATCGCTTATGTTGTTCTCGTTTGTATATGACCAAATCATCTCAATCTATCATTTCTTAACTTATCTTCTATCAATACTATTCCCACTCATTCACGAATATACTAATTCCTAATTCTGTTTTTTTTCTAGTCTTATCACACATCCACCTTAACATCCTCTTCTTAGCAACACTCATCTTATCTATATGTTTTTTAGTTGTTCAACAATTCGTCCAATACAATATGTTAGTTTAATAGTCATTTTATAGAATTCTCCTACTCCTGTGATAAAATCTATAATTTTAATTTTTCTTATTAGCAGCTACTTCCTCTCCTTTTGACCTTCCTCCATTTTGAATTGTATATAACGATAATTTGTACACTAAATATATCCATTATAACCTCACCTAGAATTGAAGGTCGGGTTCAAATTGTGCAATTATACATTACTAGAAAATATCAAAAACATGTGCATCCTTGTTTAAATGTTGGGTGTTCAATACAGCTATTCGATTTATTTTAAATAATTCATGTAAAATCGTATGGCTTGTGCAGTAATACCTCACATATACAGAGCTCATCTCAGCTTCAAGAAGTGGAGGTAGCTTGCTTGATTAAGGAAATTGAATCTCATAATTTCCATGTTCAGCTCTCCAAGTAACAATTATCAACAATTATTTTCATTTGACATTAATAATGTTTGATTTGCTATTATAAACTCTCTCAAAAGCAAGTCCAACTATGTCTGCCACTAACATCTAAGATGAGGCTCAATACAGAAAAGCTCCCATCATATATAAACAAGAGACAAATAAAGTATTATTTTCCACAATAATATTTCTTGATCTTTCTAAAAAGTTTATCCAATTTTTTCTATCACAACTTTCAAATAGAAGGTAACACCACAACTGTGCCTAGATAAATGAATGAGGGTCTCAACAAAACAATACAAACGAAGCAGAAAACAAAGGGTCAAAAGCAATTACAAAATTAACAGCAAAGAACAATCTCATTATAACAAAAAGGTTCCCAACTTTTATTCAAGATTACTACATATGCAGAAGTACAAAGAGGCACACTATCAAAATACACAGTTCATGAACAGGTGAAGCCTGCAAAAACTAGGGCTTGGTAATAAATAAAACAAAAAACAACCCAAGGGTTGTCGTGGCAAACAGAATCAAACTGTTGTCACGGCCAAAGCCCACGAAAGCAAGGCCACAAACTTTGAACTGCCAAAAGTAACCATAGACCAAAGAGATACAAGTAATCTTAACCCACCCTGAAAGGTAAAAAGAAAAATAAAAAGAGAACTAACCATCACAAGACTGGGTAAAACTGAACGTGGACAGACTGACAAACAGCGAAAGACGAGCTGATAGAAAGCTTAGCCTAAGCATGATGGCATAATCGATGCATGGCTACGCTAAAACACTAGCTAACTTCCAACACCACACAGCAACAGAAAATGACGGTGGAAGAGAATAATTGCTAGAACCAGAACCCAGAGCTGTATTCTCAGGAAAGTATGGCCATGAAGACGAGGCGAACCCTCCATTTGGAAGACCACAAAATTCTTCAAACAGCATCCTAATGGAAGGTAAGCTGCAAAAAAAGTGTATTAGGCCATACTCTCCCGGAAAAAAAGGAACTAGGTCACTGGACTGCAAGAAGACCCACAACTGATGGATCCAAAAACTACGAAGTACTGTTACCCACAAAATTAAACTAGACTGGAACTCCTTAAATATGTTCAACCCCTTCACTTCCATTGCGATCTAGAGTCCAGAAAGGGGCTTCAATAATGGTCCCTGCTTAGGAAAGGATATCACAGCGCCATAGGCGCTCCACAAGCAGGTCAACCGTGCTGCTTTTTATTGCATTGCAGTGCTGGATGTTCAACCCCACAAGAGTCTGACCCAACTCTACCAAACTAGTCAAGCTCTTGTCTGATATGGAGGAGCAACCAGACATTGAAAGGATCTGCAGATTGAGCTGTTCTGCACAAGCCAAGGCTGCAATGCCAGAATCAGTTATTGCGCACTTAGAAACATCAAGTTCACTTAAAAATAAGCAATTCTCCGCAATTGCTACCAAGCTGGCATCAGTGACATATTTGCAACCATCAAGATTCAGCTGTTCAAGAGTGACACCATGCAACCTGGCAAAGACTGAAACCACCTTGTCTGTCAAATTCACACAATTGCTAAGATTAACCTTTAACAGGCCAGTCTCACAGTTCTCGATGAGTGAGAGAACACCCTCATCTGTTATTCCGTGAAGCCCATTGAGGTTCACGTGCTGTAGTTGGGGGCACAATCTACCCAACATGGCCAAGCTACCATTGCCAAATCCAGGGCAGTTACGGATAGATAAAGATTGCAGGGAGGTGCAACGCGCTATTAAAGGGCAACCCAAGACCAAATCATTAAACCCTAGACAGTTTGCCAGAGCAAGAGCCTTTAATTTTCCACTACAGTTTAAGAGAGCACCAAAAAACCCAGACTGGGTAACCCTGTGACATTCCTCCAATTGAAGGCTCTCAAGTGACACTGCAGCTTTGGCAAAAGATACCAATCCATTGTCTGATAAGAATGCACATTTGTTAAGGTAAAACTGCTTCAGATTTGGGCAACCTTTACCCACTGCTTCAAGCCCTATATCAGTCACTCCTTGACAAGAGATAATTGTAAAGGATCTCAACTTCTGCAGACCCAGACCGTTGCCCATGACCCAGAAGCCCTTCTCACTCACATTTTGGAGGCCGCTGAGGACTAGGTCAGTAACTGCCTTGCCATAGTGTCCGATAACAGCAAGAGACACATCACTGATGTTCAAAGCATGTAGCTTCAACTTCGTCAACAAATAACTGGCTGATGACAGGAGACCTGCAATTCCTTGATCCCCAACAAGTGGGCAGTTTTTTATTGAAACATTTCTTAAGCTGCCGCAGTAACTACCAACAGCTTGCAGGCTTCCATTCCCGATGTTTGAACAAGAATCAACTGTTATAGAGGTCAGATTGGGACAATTCTTTGCAATGGCCAGCAAAGCCTTGTCGGAAATCGCTGGGCATTGGCAGAGGTCAAGCTTTTCTATCATGTGACACCGATTGGCAATCTCAACTAGGCCTTCATCTCCAACAGATGATACATTCCACAGAGAAAGAACCCTTAACGAAGGGCAGCAACGTGCAATTGCCTTGAGGCCAATGTTTGTTACCCCACGAGTAGAATTGCTTCCTCGGATAGAAAGCTTGCCCAATCCTCCGCGGTGACCAGTTCCAACAGCAATGGCTGCAAGTCTTACATCTGTAGCTTTCTTCCCTTCAAGGCACCTGGAAAGGTATCCATCACCCTCTATCTCTTCATCTTCTGCCTCAACTTCAACTTTATTACCATTAGAACCAACAATCCCACCCTTCTTGTTACACTCAGAGGACTCATGTGCCTTATTGGGGAGAAACTTTTCCTCCATCTCAAAAGATGGATCAGTTTTCTTGGCACAAATTTCATCCCTGCCAATGCTGCTTAAAAGCATAAGCCAGCGCTTGGAAACATTAGCACAGATGCTCCTCTCTTCACCTCCAGGGAGACGTCTGAAGACCTCAAAGAGACATTCGTCAGGAAGCACTTCAATGGAGGCTGGCTGCTTCTCCTCAAAAATTTCTTCACTGAATACAAAAGGGGCACTGATGCGAGACCTCTTGCAAACAGGAAAATAGACATCAACATGATGGCCAAGGGACAAAAAGAGATTCGATTCCTTGGGATTTGGGTATATTGATCCCCCAGGACAAAAATTACCATCTGGAAACAAATATATGAGAAACTAATTTAGCAAAGAAGTTTACCATACTTCACAAACTCAAAGAAATTAAATTCTCACAACACATGCAAGTTTGCTTATAGATCCAAGGCATGTTAGATAAAATATATCATCAGTATGAGCTGCAAACCACAGGCAAGCCCAATCAAATATAGGTCTGGGTTTCGGATGGATATATCATACCATGCCAGAACTATTTGAATAAAACTTTCCCATGAAATATAGTAAATATAGTAAATATTAAAACACACCACTTTTAAGTTTTGTTTTTGTTTTTTATTTTTATTTTTCTTATAAGGAACTCTTTTAATTATATTCTCATCAATTCTAATCATACAATTTATAAATTTACCTGTACTAGTAACAAGTTTTTTTCCAGATTATCAGAAGATAACAAAGAAACCATCAACAGTTCCTAAAAAAATAGATCAAATTACTCTACCAATTTCAGAAGACATGTCCACGACTTTTAATTGACAGGTCTTAAAACTTGAATTTCATAACAAATATGGCAATCTTAGAACTAATTAGAGAAACAGAAGACATAAAACTAACAAAAAGCTTAAGAAGTGCTACTACCAAGTTTCACAAATTTTATCATCAAACCCCCTATTCGATAAAGATCAAGTATTGAATAAAAATCATCACAATTATAGAAATAAAAATTCAACCCACATAGTAAAACATCACAGGGAACACCAAAATTCAATGAATCCACAAGCAGATAAGTCTAGAGTACAGAATTGAAGAAAAACCCAAAAAGATAGGAGGCTTACCACTGTAATCGAAGAGTTTCGACATGCGAACAGTTGGAAAAACCTAGGGAGGTCGAAATTGAAGCGATCAAGCCCCAAAAACTCTCGATGGAGAGCAAAAAAGAGGAGATCCAAGAACAAAAACACGGACGATGCAACGTATAGAGCGTCAATCGATGAATGCATGAGAGAATTGGAAGGAAAGAGAGGTCACTGGAACCCTAATAGATAGGGCAAAAAAAAATAGGAGAGAGAGAGAGAGAGATGAAGGATGGGTGGATGTTACAATGTGTATGTATAATATATGATGTGATTAAAGTATTATCTTTTTTATTTATTTATTCCCTCTAAAAGCTGGGGTCATTAGTCAGTTTTATTATTTATTAGAGAGAGAGAGAGAGAGAGAGAAGTACATGCACTGAACCCAACCTTGAAACCAGTCAAAGCTAAATGTCTACTTCTCCATCATCCTTTTGAGGGGTAATCAGTACATCTTTAATGACAAATATTATCATGGTATTGTTATTGTTAAATTAAGATAATAAATAATAGAAAATAAATGAAAAATAATAATACTTTAATGATACAGTTGTTATTTTTATCATTTAAAATAAATGAAAAATAATAATACTTTAATGATACAGTTGTTATTTTTATCATTTTAGTATAGAAATTGGTGTATTCGGATGACTGACTGCATGATTAGTCGTTTAAATACATCAATTTTTGTATTTGTGCGGCAAAAATGACAGGCGTGCAGGACGGAGAGAGGGAGGGATGTTTTGCTAAAAGGAAATGAAAGAGGTTTTTTTGAATAATCTGACATATATGACAGCTGCTAAAACTTATGTCAAATTTGACAACTGTCATATCTTATCATTGGAGCAAGGTTTAGAGCATCTGATGTCAAATTATGACAATAACAACTCCTATTAGAGATGCTCTTATAGGGAGGAAGGGAAAAAAAATTATCAATATATTAGGTGTAAGTGTGTCTATGATGGAGTATAAATAAAAGATTATAAGGGTACAAGTGTCATTTGCACCTCCATATATTAGTTATTTTTTTCTTCTTCTTTTACCTGCTTATGTGGGTGTTTGGGAAGTTAGTTTTTTTGTAATTTTTTTAGTTGTAGGATATTATTGAAGAATTTTTTTTTTTTTGTGTTTAGGAAAATAGTTAGATTTTTTTATAGTTGGATGTGATATTTATGAGAGAAAAAGTGAAATGATTATGGAGTTTGATGTAATATTTTGTTTAGATTAATTTTTTTTAATTTTGTAACCAATTTGTTATTTAGTAAAAAAAAACAAAAAAAAACAAAAAACTTACTTCCCAAACACCCCTAATTCTCCCTTCTTTTAACAATACTAGAAACGGGAAACCAAACCTGGACATGCTTTTTCCTTTTGCTTAAAATATGTAATTTATAAAAATTTATATATACTTCATTTGTTAGAATTTTTTATTAAATAAAATTAATTAAAAAAATAAATTTTATAATTATTTTTTGTATAATAATAAAATTATCTAAATTATGAATTAAAATAAAATTTTGATATTGACTTGATTATTTATTAATAAAATGAGTCATTTGTTATGAATTTATAAACTTTAATGGATAGGATGTAGTTTTCAAATCATATTTTAATTAAATCTCAAGGGATATATTTATGTGAATAAATTATAAATACACTCCGTGAAATTTGTTTAAAATATAAATTACTTCCTATAGTTCTGAAAGGTCAAATGCTCTCTTGTTAGAATTTTTTATTAACTAAATTAACAAAAAAATAAAATTTCTAACTTTACTCATGTACTACAATAAAATTGCATGAATTATTAATTGGAATATATTTATAGTATCATTAAAAATTATTAATTGACTTGATAATTTATTAATAAAATAGATTATTTATTATGCAATTAGAAACTTCAAAATGTGTGATGTAATTTTCAAAATCACATGACACAATTCGTCTTTTAAGCAAGTCTCTAGGGGTTCATTTGTAATTTATCCTTTTTTTAATCACCTTTCCTAAAGTTTAAGAAATTACAATTAGCCTACACTTTTAATATAATTATATTATTTTTTTCAAAATTTTAATTCACATAATAATTAAGTCTTTTTTCATTAACATTTCATTAGCGGTATGAATAAGAAATATTGTTGTCATATGTTCTCTAATAAAATATTTATTTTTATTTATTTTAGTATTTATCCAATATTTTTATTTATTTTTATCACTTTAATCGTACTAAATATAAAGTTTGTGTAATTATGTCAGAAGTGTGAGATTTAACTATAATTTTTTCAACTATCAAGGGAAGTGAATGTAATTTATTCCTTTTTTTTTTTTGGCAAATTACACTCACATCACTTGTGGTTTGAGAAAAATATAATTAATCTTATAAGTTTGGTATAATTATAGTAATTACCTTTTAGTAAGATTAAAACGATCAAAACTAATGCAAATAATGAGTAGATATTGAAATAAACAAATATATATATATATATATGTATATTTCAATAAAAAAACAACATGACAATATTATACTTTTATCCGGGCGACTCACAAATTACTAATGAAAAATCTAAGTATTATATAAATTAAAGTTTTGAAGGAAGTCAATGTAATTATGTCAAAAATATGAGGCTAATAATATTTTCTTCTCATAATATTAATTTATTATAGACTAAATGTCATTTTCTCTCGAATTATCTCACAAAAATTAATTAAGACAATTTTATGTTTAAATTATTTTGATTTGGATCAATATAAAATTATATAAAAATATCATTGCTCATATTGAGAGTGCAATACTCGTTAATTATTCTGTAAAAGATTAGAGATGCAACACTTTTTTACACTTTGTTCTTTTTATATTTGATCACTTTCTCACTTTAACTCTTATGACATATTTGATTGGGTGGATTAGAGTATGGGATTGAGATTATTAATCCGTGAGCCCAATTATCCTATGTTTGTTTTAACATTTTGGTTTAGGATTATTAATCCAATGGATAATTAATCCAACAAATTTGTAGGATTATTAGTAATGGGGTAGTGGTGGGATTATTAATCCAATAGATATTAATTCAATTGGATAATGAATACCACACTAATTTAATAAGATTATTAATACTTCACTATTAATCTTGTGGATCAAATATGACCTTAGAGTATGTTTGTTTGGAGGGATTATTTCATGGGATTAGTCTATTATTTGGTTTAATTTTTTTGTTCCGGATTAATAGTCTCTCCGAACTATTAGTCCCTCATATGAGGGATTATTGTATCATAGGGAGAGGGGTGGGATTATTTCCATGAAATTGGTATCCCATGAGACTAATATATGAAATGTCTATTTTACTTTCATGTTATTACTTAATAAACAATTGAAAAATGGTAAAATAGTCTTTTGAACATTTATAAATTATTTTTTTAGTGTTGTTAATTTAAAATTATATATTAAATAAAAAATATAAATTATAAATTTAATTTAATTGAAAATAATAAATTATAAATTATAGCCTTATAAATTAAAATTTTTCAATGTTGTTAAATTATAAATTATAGATTACAAATTTAAAATTATATATTAAATATAAATTATAAATTACAAGGGTAAAATAGTCTTTTGAGCATTTATCTTTATCTAGTTTGTTCAACTAAACATTGGATTTACTAAAAATAATCCAATCCAGATATCTAATCCCATGACTAAACAAACATAGGATACAAATCCAGTCCAACCAAATAATCCAGGGACAATGTACCACAGGACTAACAGTCCGATAGATTACAATCCCCCCTTATCCAGTCCGTCCAAGCAAACACACCCTTAAGGTTTTTTTTTTTTTTATCACTTTCACCTTTATGTTTCAAATATTTCTCAATTTACTCCTATAACTAACTTCTGTTTAAAATTAGATAAAAAAAATAACACATTGACAGTCACGTGAAATAAAAATATTTTATTATATATAACTTACACTTCTGACACAAACTCAAATCTGAATATAATGAGAAATTTTTGGATGCAGATAGGGCAGGTGCCATGTGATACCTTTCTTTTCCCGCATTGATTAAGAGAGTGAGGATTACATTTATGTGTTAGGTGATAGGGAGACAATATAGGAGGTCATGGTATTTATGATTAGTTGAAGGCACCATGGCATGCCACATGGTACCCTATCTGCACCCAAGAATTTTTCAAATATAATAATATAATTTTTATATTATGTGACAATTATGATGTTATTTTCTGTCTAATTTTAAACAGAAGTTAGTTTTAGAAGTAAACTAAAAAAACATAAAATAAGAAGGGTCAAACTGAAAAAATGGTTAAACATAATGAGAACAAAGTGTAATTTATCCATATTTTTTCTATAAAAATATATAGTGAAAATCAAGAAAAAATATCACATCAGTGATATTTTAATAAAATAATTAGAAATAAGTGAGAAATTTTATAAATATTAATAATTATAATTATAATTATAATTTTTTTCATAAATATATATATATATATTGACATCCACTTAGTTATAATTACCCCTAAAAATTGCACCCCTCAAAAGTTACACCCAACAAAAATTCCTAACGTTTGATAAACTTCTTACTTATGGGTAGGGTTCTAAATGAGGCGAGCCGAATTTTAGTATGTCAGTGTTTGTTTATTAAGATTTTAATGAATTTGAGTTCGAGTTCAATAAAAATTTGACAAATCGAGCTCGACTCGAGTTTGGTTAGGCTTGGCTCGAGCTCAAGCCTGTTCACGAGCATTAACGAGTCAAAAAATTTATAAATTCATACTTACATATGAGACTAAATTTACAATTAAAACTTTGATTATACAATTATATATATAATATATAAACATTCTAAAAAAAATTTAATATTTTATCAAAATAATAATATTTACTACTACTATTATATAAATGTACTATCTGTAGTTAACTATTTATTTACATTTATATTTTTTAAATATATAAATAACATATTTATCTTATTTTTTATACATATTTTTACATTATTTAATAAATAAATAATAAATATTAAACGAGTCAGTTAACGAGTCAAGCTTACGAGCCGAGTTTTAGAATATTTGGACTTATTTATTAAAAAATTAATGAGCTTGAGATGGAACTTGAACGCAAAAAAAAATTTAACGAACCGAGTTTGAACAAGCTCTTACAGAGATGAGTTTGAACTTGTTCACAAATGACTCTATTCATTTGCAACCCTACTTATGGATAGTTTTCCATCTAAATTAAGGAAAA